CATCTAGACACCTGGTAGATTTTCTTATTTCTGGTTTAACAGAAGGCTTCCACACAGGTATCCTACACATACCAGCTGGAACTCTGGAATGCCCTAACCTACAATCCGCCCAACACAACCCCACAGTGGTTGACACCCTCATAAACCAAGAAGTGGAGGAGGGCTTTGTATTGGGGCCTTTTAGAACTCCTCCATTCACAGAATGGCGCACCAACCCTATTGGTATTGTCACAGGGAAATCTTCCCAAAAACAGAGACTCATCATTGACTTATCGGCTCCCCACTCATCGGCCAACCCCAGTCTTAATTCCCTCATACCTTCTGAGGAATTCTCTCTGCAATACACCACCATAGATCACGCCATTACAGCTATCATACAAGCAGGGGTTGGAGCCTGGCTCAGTAAGACCGACATTACTAACGCCTTCAAATTACTCCCTATCCACCCCACACTGTGGCACCTGCATGGCATCAAGTGGTCCGGGAACTACTATTTTTTTTCTCCCGGTTAACTTTTGGGTCCAAAAGTAGCCCAGCTATTTTCGACACATTTGCCGAAGCATTATGCTGGTTACTATTGAACATAGCCGGATGCCCTACAGTATTACATTACTTGGACGATTTCCTACTGGTCGAGGAGAATACTGCACCTCCCACTAGCCTCAAAGCTACCACTAAGCTGTTTGAGCAACTAGGTGTACCCATCTCCCCAAAGAAAACAGAAGGGCCAGACACGGTTATCACTTTTCTGGGTTTCCAATTAGACTCTGCCACAATGCAAGCAAGCCTACCATACGATAAGATAGAGAATATTCTCACTTACATAAACAACAACCTACAGCTCGGCACTTGCAACCGCAAAGAACTACAGTCCCTGCTGGGGTCACTAAATTTTGCAATGCGCATCATACATCAAGGCGGCTCCTTTATTTCACGACTATTGCATCTTTTCCCACTTTTTCTACATGACACGCACAGGTTGTCCTTAGATGCCCAAGCTACGGCAGATCTAAACATGTGGAAGAGGTTTTAACCACTTGGAATGGTAAAAGTATGTTCCTCCCTCAATTGACTGAATCATCTCCTACCATTTGGTCAGATGCGGCATCTACCACTGGTTTTGCAGCAATTTTTGGGAACGAATGGCTTTGGGGCAGCTGGCCTTCAGCAGTTCTGGATTTGGAAGGTTTTTCCACTACCTCAGCTCTTTTTGAGATCTACCCCATAGTGGCGGCTGCCGTAGCGTGGGGTCATTTATGGGCTAATACGCCAGTGCGTTGTTACTCAGACAACCAGGCAACCTGTCACATCATCAACAAAGGTCGTTCCAAATCTCTTACGATTATGAGATTTCTGAGGAAACTCACTTGGTTGGCAGCTTGTCATAATTTCTTCCTATGTTGTTTCCATGTGCCAGGTATATATAACACAGCTGCTGACAGTTTGTCTCGCTTTAAATTTCAGGAGTTTCATCAAGCACTCCCGTCAGCAGCACCCACAGCCACCATCACTCCAACATTTCAACAACTCATACTGGACTAGACGTCATCATGCAGCATAGCAGGACATTGTCTCAGTTGGCACTTTCACACAATACAAACAAAACATACAGCAGGGCTTTCACACTATTCAAACAATTCCTTCTGGAACATAACATCATACAACCGTTTGTTATGACATCTTTTTTGGGGTTTGCTTCCTTTTGCCACCTTAAACTCAAAATGTCATACAACACCATCAAACTCTATCTCACTGGCATTCAACACCACATGCTCATCTTACACCCAAATAACAACAGTTTCATGGCCTCTCACCAAATTAAGACCATACTCAGAGGTATTAAAAAATCAGAACCCACACATTTGGCCCAGAGGCTACCCATAGATAACCATATCTTCAAAGCATTATCTAACCTACTCGACCTAAAACCGTTTGACACTAATACGAATTCTATCATCAAAACAGCTATATACATCGCTTTCTATGGATTTCTACGACCCAGAGAATTCACTACGACCTCCACGACCCAAACCACTCCATTCCTCCTCTATTCCCACTTGACAAAACATATGGATCATTACATCCTGTCTTTACCTCACTCCAAAACCAGCCAGCACATACCTGTAAACATTCCGTACTATCCCACGCACAACAGATGGTGTCCCGTCAAGGTTCTTGATGCCTACATACAGCACCATCACTTACTGCCCTCGCAACCGTTATTACAACTACAAGGTGCAGTACTCACCACTACAACCTTCATGACCTACGTCAGGTCCTTGCTCACACAACTGGGCCTCAACGCAAACAATTACTCAGGACACTCCTTTCGTATAGGAGCCGCGTCCACAGCCTCCAGTTTCAACATCCCAACTCATATTATCAAAACACTGGGGCGCTGGAAGTCATCCGCTTACTCACGGTACATACCGAACCCAGTACAAGAATTAAGGGATGCTTTCATAAAAATGTCTGGTTGATAAATGTATATGTATTGGTTGTCTGTTAATAAATTTGATTACTTAATTTTGCCCTCTTCTTTCTCAGGCCTACCTCATCGTAGGTTTCGGCACACCACAACCGACTTGCTCCTTTTATCATCCTACGCTTATTCGTGGTATTTCACACTGTACTATCTTAAGCACCTAACACAAGTATTAAGGCAATTTGCCTGCATTTGTGGGAGGTGCTGGTTTGCTACCCCTAGCCTACTTAAGGCACTCCCCTTGCCTGGCTCCTTACCGTTCGAGGTCAGCATTGAATGACCCTCCCACCACACCACTTTTAATATTTATTTCCTTTCTATTTCTTTTCCTGGGTGGGCCCTCTTCTTTCTCAGGCCTACCTCATCGTCGGTTTCGGCACACCACAACCGACTTGCTCCTTTTATCATCCTACGCTTATTCGTGGTATTTCACACTGTACTATCTTAAGCACCTAACACAAATATATATATATATATATATATATATACATACACACATATATAAATTTAACTCATAACAGGTAATAAATATTGTTAACCATGACAGGAACATTATGTAAAAGATTTTAGATTGAATGAAGATTTGACTGAGTCCCTAAGTTTATTCCATAATTGCGGTGCGCTATAGGAAAATGAGGATTGAGACACTTTGTTTTTGTATTGCGGTATGCTAAATAAAGTGCTGGTACTGGATAGGAGGTTATAGGATGTGGGAACAGCTTGGGAGAAGAGCATTCTACTCAGGTAGAGTTGGAGCTTCCAAGAAAAGCTCTTATGCACAAGGCTAGAAAGATGAAGAGTGCGTCGGGATTCCAGCCAGTTTAGCTCTTTTAACTTGTCACAATGGTGGGTAAAGAAATTGCATCCTAGTACAAAGTGGAATTATATAACATATTAAGTTATTAAGGTGGGTTTGTGATGCAGGTGCATACACTATCCCCAATCATGGCCGGCATTAGCATTTGTTGCATTAGCATCTGTTTCCTTACTATAGGGCTTAGGCAGGATTTGTTTCTGTACAGGGCACCTAGTTTTGGGTAAAGTTTTGAATAGATTTTTTCAATGTGAAGGCCAAATGATAGATTGTGGGCTAGCAACATGCCTGGATATTTGAAAGAACAGACTAATGTCAGTGTGCTATTTAAATTTGTTCTGATACATAGTTATTGATTTTGTAGTTTACATAATTTAGGTACAGTTCCAAAGATCATTGCAACAGTTTTGTCAGTGTTTAGGAAGAGTTTGTTAACCACTATCCACTTTTCAACCTCTGTGAATTGGTTTTGGAGCACAGCCTTAAGCTGCCGTAGATTGGATTTACTAGTGTTGATTACAGTGTCCTCTGCATACTTGTGTACAGTTGAGGATTTGCAGACGTTAGGCAGATCATTTATAAATAATGTGAATAGCAGGGGGGGCAAGTATGGAGCCTTGGGGAATGCCACATGTTTATTCCTAAATAAGTGAACTTGCCCAATTTGGTCCAACAGAAAGAATAGTCCCTTTTCAGGTCCATAATTGATTTTATACTCAAATTTAGTGGAAGCCCAAATGATTTTCAATATTCAATCTGTATATTGAGAATAAGCTATATTGATGTACTTCTATCATAAGTTCTCCAAATAATTTTTTAAGGGTCTGACAGAGTGAGAGTCAATATGCCATCTTCGTACATATTTAGTTTAGCTGAACCTCTTGTTTTAAAGAAGCCTGATAAGGACTTCTTTTCCCTAACAGAGGTCACAAAGATCTCCATAGACATGATTGATATATACACCCAGTTCCAAATTATTATGCAAATTCTAATTAAGTGTCACAAAGATTAAATATATTGTTTTTCAGTTTAACTCATGGATGGCATTATGTCTCAGGGCTCTTTTGATCACTGAAAACAATCTCGGACACCTGTGATAATTAGATTGCCAGGTGAGCCCAATTTAAGGAAAAACTACTAAAGGAGGGTTTTCCACATTATTAAGCAGAGCACCATTTTCATTCAATATGGGGAAGAAAAAGGATCTCTCTGCTGCCGAAAAGAGTGAAATAGTTCAATGCCTTGGACGAGTTATGAAAACATTAGATATTTCCCAAAAACGTAAGCGTGATCATCGCACTATTAAGAGATTTGTGGCTGATTCAGAGCACAGACGGGTTTGTGCACATAAAGGCACATTGAGGAAGATTTCTGCCAGATCCATGCATCGGATCAAGAGAGCAGCTGCGAAAATACCATTACAAAGCAGCAAACAGATATTTGAAGCTGCTGGTGCTTCTGGAGTCCCACTGACATCAAGGTGTAGAGTCCTCCAGAGTCTTGCAACTGTGCATAAACCTTTTATTCGGCCACCACTAACCAATGCTCACAAGCAGAAATGGCTGCATTGGGCAGAAAAATACATGAAGACTAATTTTCAAACAGTCCTGTTCACTGATGAGTGCCGTGTAACCCTGGATGGTCCAGATGGATGGAGTAGTGGATGGTTGGTGAATGGCCACCCTGTTCTAATAAGGCTTGCGACGTCAGCAAGGCGGTGGTGGAGTCATGTTTTGGGCTAGAATCATGGGAAGAGAGCTGGTCGGCCCCTTTAGGGTCCCCGAAGGTGTAAAGATGACCTCTGCAAAGTATGTGGAGTTTCTGACTGACCACTTTCTTCCCTGGTACAGAAGGAAGAACTATGCTTTCCGTAATAAAATCATCTTCATGCATGACAATGCACCATTTCATGCTGCAAAGAATACCTCTGCATCAACGGCTGCTATGGGGATAAAAGAAGAGGAAGTCATGATGTGGCCTCCATCCTCCCCTGACCTCAATCCTATTGAGAACCTTTGGAGCATGCTCAAGCAAAAGAGCTATGAGGGTTTACATCCAAACAGCAGCTCTGGGAGGCTATTCTGACATCTTGCAAACAAATTTAAGCAGAAACTGTCCAAAAACTCACACGTTCAATGGATGCAAGACTTGTGAAGCTGCTATCAAATAAGTGGTCCTATGTTAAAATGTAACGTGACCTGTTAAAATGTTTGAAAAGTTTAAATGTTGTTATAAGTTTGATTGAAATAGCTTTTGATTTCAGTAAATATGCTGCAAACACAACAAATGACAATTTTCAGTTCTTTACAACCTATAAAGTGTTTTGAAACTTACTGTGCGTAATAATTTGGAACAGTGCATTGTAAGTTTTTTATGTTTAAAAAAGAATACTGCTATCATTAGGATGTTTGTTAAATACAATTTGAATTGTACTCTTAATAGTTGATAACATGAGAATTATGCTGACTGTTATTTACATCAATTATTTAGGTAACTGAGAAAAATATAATTTGCATAATAATTTAGAACAGGGTGTAGAAGGGATGACAAGGGGCATCCCTATCTGGTTCCGTTTGAAATTGGGAACCATTTTGGATATAAAACAAGCTTGTTACTATCGCTGTGGACGCTGTAGAATAAAGCAACATTATTTCGTCCTCTATTCTGCCCTCCAGTTCAAGGGCTCTAAGGCCCCCTCAAAAATTTTGAATCGACCTGATCAAAAGCCAAGATTATAAATAGGGGAATTCTATTTTTATTGACCCTAACCAAAAAAAACATTTTTTTCTTATATTATGGTTTGGGCACCATCTCAAAACAAAACCTACTTGGTTCAGGTTGATTAAAAATTGAATAATAACTTCATTTTAGAGGCTAAAACCACAGAATATAATTTCATATCTGAATTTAAGAAAGAAATAGTTCTATAAATATGGGTCCTCATAGGATCCTTATTATTCTTTGGAACTGGTACGATACCTTTTAAAATTATGATTGTATCAAGGCCTTAGAAATCATGTAATTGAAGATATCTGTTAGATGGCCAGATAATTCAGTTTTAAATGCAAGATAAGACAAATTATTAAACCAATCTCCTCTTTAAAAAGAGAGTTCAATAAATCCAACTTTCACAATAGTGAACTTATTTTGATTCAGATTGTGGGGAAATAGAACGTTTAGACATTAACCATCTGTCAATGTGTCCAACTAGAAAAGAACACAAGGTCTTAACTTTGCTTGTATAGTGAAAAAAACTATTTAACTAGCGGACAAGGCTGGGAATGTAGTGATTATGGAAAATTGTAAATATGTTGAAATGGTCCATAAAGTACTTGA